GGTTGCTATGAGTTGTCCTTGACACACTAGCAGTGAGTCTGGTTTGGTATTGCCTTAACAAAATCCAAACCCATGGCCACTGAGATGAATTCTGACTCATCACAATCCTGCAGGGCAGAGTAGAACTGCCCCCAGGAAGTGGTTGGTGGGCAGACTACTGATTTGCATCCAGGAGCCTAACCATTGTGCCGTGAGGGCTGCTTGCTTATTGCCTTGTTAGGTGCATCCATAGCAACCCCAAGTATGAATGATTGAAACACTGCCCTCTCCTGCAGCACCCTCACAATTGTTCTTATGCTCAGGCCACTGAGTCAGTTCTTCTTGTCAAGGTCCTTCCTTTTTTGTGCTGCTCCTCTACTTTACCGATCATGATGTCCTTTCCCACGGACTGGTGTCTCCTGATAACATGTCTAAAGTACTTGAGATGATGTCTTGCTATCCTTGCATTCCAGTTAGAATTCTTCCAAGATGGATTTGTTTGTTCTTTTGGTAGTCCATGGTATTTCCAATAGTCTTCACCAGCATCATAATTAAAATGCTTGGATTCTTCAATGTCCAACTTAGTATTCTCTTAATGCCTGTCACCTCTTTTGTGATATGCCTCTTGGGAAGGTGTATGAAGAGTCAGAAATAACTGTGATTTCCCTCCTTTATCACAGGTTCCGGAGGGCAATGTTTGCCTTGCTCCAGTGCCAGCCTCAGGAAGCAAGGCGTGTGACAAGTATTTTACCCATGAATGTATCTCAAAACCCAATGGCTTCTGGAAGACTCTGAAATAAGAGAGAAGCACGCATGATTGAAACACTTTATTTCCTTGTTATTTTTCTGCGATGTCTCGATGTTATATTACATGGGGTCCATGTAATCCCCATGTTGGCATACAGGAATGTCCTATAGGATTGAAAATTCCTCACGCAGAGCACACAGTTCTGTTTGTGCAGTGGATGTGTAGTGTACGTTGCTCTCTCTCACCATATGTAAACTCGTTACTCAACTTCTGACAGACCTGGATGCCAGAGACGGAGGCTTCTGCCCTCTGCTCCCTGTCAGTACGCACTTCATCACACCGACGGCCTGCTGACTTGATGGGCTGTCTACTCGCCGAGATTCTAGAGGAGAAAGAGCTGCTATTTTAATATGAGGATAGATTAATCACAATAATAATTAGTAACATAATATATAGTAATGATTCATTACTCTAATGCGTTTTTGGATATTCCAAAGTAGATTAAAACTTTTTTTGGATCTTAAAATCTTAAACATTTTGCCACTATCAGCTTACATGTAATTTAGCAAGAATGATTAAATGGCCATTAAACACGAGTTGCTTTTAAATCACGCGCGTCGATCAATGCTCTGACGTCTGGTGCAGAGCGCTGCCATCGTGGTGCAGATTGCCACGTGCTCTGCACTTCCCAGTGACCCTTTTCTGCACACGCAGGTCCGCACATTTGACACTAGCTTTGATCCCCAGGAGAATGGGAATTGTGGTCTGTTTTGTTCTTTTGATTTATCTTCAGCACCTAGACCCGTTTTACCTGGCACATAGTAGGAACTCAATAAATATTAATTAGACATTGAGTGAATTTGTGGACTCCATCTTTATTCCTACATGTACTAAAAGCATTTTTATTTCCAAGTTGTTTCGTGGAGCATTTTCATCGCCAACTCCTTCCTCTCCTCGCTGTTTTCGGCTTGTCCTGGTTGAGACCTCATTGGACTCCCCTAGACGGCAACCACCAAGGCTAATGGAAGTCTCCTTCCTGTCTTAATTGCTTTATCTAGGCCTGGTGTAGGCAAACTTTTGAGATGGAAGAGCCAACCCTGTCCCTCCCAACAATCTGAAAATTATTTGAGAGCCATAAATATATATTGACAAATAAACGAAGTCACCATCCTCTGAATAATATCCTTTAAACGAAAGTATGATTAGTTGATTTTCATTTCCCATTTTACTTCGCAGCCACATGTACGTACTGAAAGAACCAGATAGGGCTCAAAAGTTGCAGTTTGCTGACCTCTGATCTAGAATGTCCCTCCACACAGCTGCTAGAGAATTCCACGAACAATGATCATGTGGCCTACAGGTTCAGAGCAAGCTCTTTACTAGCACATGTAAGATCCTTCCTTCGAGACCTTCTTCTTGCCTGGTCTCCAGTTTTGTCTTCTATTCCCTTGTGTTTTTTTATCTTAAATAAAACAAAACATTTTCTGCTTCTAATCTTATGCCCAAGCAACCAGGACTGCTTGCAGTTCTCTGAAGACCACTTCTGGTTTGTCGCTTCCATTCCATCCTTTGTGTATGCTGTTCCTTCTGCTTGCATCAGTACCGTCCGGTGTTTTCTCCTAAGAAATCAGCGTGCAGCCTATAGCAGGCAGCTCAGGTACAGACTACCCTAGGAAGCCTCTCTTGATCAACACAGACTGGGTTGGGTATTCTTCTCTTGTGTTTCTTCAGTACTCTGTCTTTCTGATACGAGTTCCTATGTTTACTGGCTGTGTGTTATTCATCTTTGAACCTCAGGTACTTGGTCCAGTGCTTGACACAAAGTAAAACTCAAAACCAAACTCATGGCCATCGTGTCAATAGTGACTCATAGCGACCCTACAGGACAGGGTCGAACTTCCCCTGTGGGTTTCCAAGACTATAATGCCTTATGAGAGTAGAAAGCCTCCTTTCTCCCATGGAGTGGCTGGTGGTTTTGAACTGCTGACCTCGTGGATTGTAGCCCAATGCATTACCACTATGCCACCAGGGCTCCTTGGTAAAAAGTAAGTGCGCTGTAAATATTTAATGAACACATAAATGGGCAGAATCTGAAAACATGAAGGATTTTATTTAAATTGAGCAGGCATGTCTGACTATTGCTTCTATGTAAATTCTATCATTCCTAAATAATGCCTCTCTACATATTCTTATTTTTATAGAATCGGTGTGTTTAAAGAGTTTTTGGTTTAAAAGATGTTGTCAGGAGAGACCAGTCCCGGGAGAAGGACATCAGGCTTGGTAAATTAGAAGGGCCATGAAAAAGAGGAAGGTCCTCAACAAGATGGATTGGCACAGTGGCTGCAGCAGTGGGCTCGAACATACAAACAATGGCGAAGATGGCGCAGGACCAGACAGTGTTTCCTTCTATTGTGCACAGTGTCGTTATGAGTCTGAGCCGATTCGAGGGCACCTAACAAGGAGAAGATGAACGGCATATACGTCTACTACCTTAATCCTTGGGAATCACTCCATGATGTGTGGGAATCATTTTATTCTTAAATCTAAATTTTCATTTTCTGATGGCATCTCGTGTTGCTAAATGAATTGGCAATTGAAGCTCAGTATAGGTTTTGCTCCATGTCAGCAGGGAGTGCTCGAGGAGAATACGAATCTCCCTGAATGAAGGTAATTGCCTTTATTAAAATTAATCTCACTGCGACAAACTTCACTCTGTACTTGGAGGCTCTGGAAGAGTCTTAGGACATGCTCTGACTGAAATCTCTAGTCTTGTTCTTCAGTGAAGAAGAGTTTTTCTTAAAAACAAAGCAACATCTATGGACACAGCTTTGTTGACTTGACTTTTGGAATGTCTATAAACAGCATGTTAACACTGATCTCACGTAGGTACTTCAGTCTTTAAGACTACATATTATAAAACTGGATTGCTGCTTAAAAAACAAATGCAGAAAACAAAATATATAATGTTACTGCATATAAATAGCCTACAGTATTTTTCAGCATTTGTCAAGGCATTAACAAAATGTAAACAATGTTATTGACATATATTCACATATATCATTCAAATTAGTGGTTTAAATGTAGTATTAAAAAGAGTTGGATCACAGGAAGCTACATATAACCTCCTCTCTGGGGGACGGGCAGCAGAGGGGTGGGTGAAGGGAGACGCCAGGCAGTGTAATATAAGATACAATAATAATTTATAAATTATCAAGGGTACATGGGGAAGAGGGGAGGAGGAAGGGAGGGGGAGGGGAAAAAAAGGAAAATGAGCTGATTCCGGGAACCCAAGAGGAAAGCGAATTTAGGGAATAATGAGGGCAACAAATGTATAGATGTGCTTTACACAATTGATCTATGTATTGTGATGAATTGTATGAGCTTCAATAAATTGATTAAAAACAAAACAAAACAAAAATAAACCAGAGAGAAAAAAAAAACTGAAGTAAATTAAAAAAAAAAGTTGGGAAATCATCACAACAGTCGATTTGAAAACATTTTCTTCATTCATGTATTTTTAACATTTTAACATGTATCTTTAACATCTCCAGGTATAGTGGCCATTACATTCTGAGAAAAGGGATTTACTATGCAATTTCCCTAGAAATCTATTGAAGTTTTCCTGACATGTGTTTAGTTTTCCTTTACTTTAAAATGGGACTTTGTTGAAACTGTATTCAAAGGCTAGGTCAGCTGATCCCCTGCAAAATACACTTGAAGGTTAAGTAACTACAGCTCTCAGTTAATCCTGTGTAATCTGCTATTACAGAAATGGATGTTCGCGTTCCTGGCACCTAGTGTCTGAATGCTTAGGATTTGGCTTTTTACCTTTTGCTCACATAACCTCTCCGAGGAGCAATGCATGCATTGGTGTGTCTGTGTGTCTTACTTAGTCTCACGGAAGAGGTGGGCTGCTCCTGTCCCTCACAGTGCACCTGCGACGATCCGGACACACAGGCTGGCTCAGGATCAAGGTATGCTCCTCTTTTGGCTAGCAAGTATGCTACCTACCCTGTTTCCCCGAAAGTCCGCCATCCCCCGAAAATAAGACCTACTTACATTTTGGCCTCTCGCTGAAATATAAGGCATCCCGCCAAAAATAAGACCTCCCCGAAAATAAGGCACCCAGCAGCTACCAGACCATAGCAGCGGGCACCGCAGCGCAGCTCACTGTTGGACGCAGCACGGCCGGAGCAGGCAGGAAGTGTGAGGTCTCTTTTAATAAAACAATAAGCAATAAATGTGTACCGTATTCTTCTTCATGGAAAAATAAGACATCCCTTGAAAATAAGTATTCTACCTACCCTGTTTCCCCGAAAGTACAACATCCCTTGATCTTTGGGAGCAAAAATTAATATAAGACACTGTCTTATTTTTAGGGAAGCAGGGTATTCCTAGACAATGGGCTCAAACAGGATGACTTATTTTGAAAGCAAATTGTGACGAATACTCAAAGGTGAGTTTTACCTGTAAGCTTTGAATTAATGATGTTGGTTCTGGCAGGTCCTATTTAGTTGCTCAAAACGTCTTTATTGTTTTCATCTTGACCACTTCAGCTCTTAGAATGGTCTCAAATACATTTATGGTAGGAAAATATTCATGTGCTCATATTCATAAAATGTCCCTCGCAGGAAGTCACACCATTTCAGTGTGCGTGGCCAGCTCTGCTTTCAGCTCTAAGACCTCTTAAGGAGGCTGTGCTGATCAGAGCTGCTGGGCGGGCCCAGACCATTTCTTCAAAGGTTTTCCATTTCATTTTGAGGAATATCAGTGCCATCTGGGTGGACTTTATGAAGTATGAAGGGAGATCACCAGAGGGAAGTTAGAGAGAGTCCTAATTAGAATTGCTCACCTTGGTTTCTAGGCTACTAGAACTTAGAAAGTAAAGACGTTTAAAAGACATGGAGACATCAGACAGGGAGATATGACAAAATAATAATTTATAAATTATCAAGGGCTCATGAGGGAGAGGGGAGCGGGAAGGGAGGGGAAAAATGAGAACCTAATGCCGGGGGCTTAAGTGGAGAGGAAATGTTTTGAGAATGATGTACAAATGCGCTTTACACAATTGATGTATGTATGGATTGTGATAAGAGTTGTATGAGCCCCTAATAAAATGATTAAAAAAAAAAAAAAAAGGAACTTCACCCTCCGAGATAACCTCTGGGTGACTTGGCGTCTGCCTATGAAGTGAGCATAGCTCTTCACTTATCATGTGCATCAGCGAACAAAGTACCTGAACAACAAAATCAGGTATTTTCTGACTTGGTTGAAGCAACAAAATCAGGTATTTTCTGACTTGGTTGAAACAACAAAATCAGGTATTTTCTGACTTGGTTGAAGTCTCTTAACTAAAGTAATTTGTTTGAAGAATCACAACATCTGTGACTCAAAACTTTCAAATAAATGAATAGGATTAATGAAGACATTAATTCTTGAGTACTTTTTTGTTTTTCCTATAACCTTTACATCAACCCATCCTTTGTACCTTCTTGAAATACTCCTCGGGTGGGTAAAGACAATGAGAAGAATAAAGCAAAGTCCTATTACCAAATAAAGGGAGCTCTGGTGGTGTAGTGGATTATGCATAGTAGTAACCATAAGATCAGCAGTTCAAAACCACCAGCTACTACCTCCTTGGGAGGAAGATGGGGTTTCCACTCCCTATAAACAAGTATAGACTTGGAAATACACATGGGTAACTTACAGGGTCTCTGTGAATTCAACTCCACTCAATAGCAGTGAGTTTGGTTCGGGTTTTGGGTTGCCACTATGTTCAGCAATTAATGGCTCAGACTAGGGTGCTTTTGAGAAAACAATTACAGAAATATTTTATTTTCTACAGGGTGCCCATTATTTGACAGGTTTTGTGAACACAAAAACAAAAACGAAACCACCATAGAATATTATGCCGGGCATGAATGTAGAAATAATCTATTCCTACCCCTTTCAATTTAGAGATTACTTCTCCGAGGTCACATTTTTGGGTTGATGTGGTGGTTGGGTTCATAAAGACCTGAGATGTTTAACTTCCAACCCTGGCACTTTTTCCATGACAGCACACTGGAAACTGACTTGAATGGAAACTGCTACTGTTCTGGGTAATGTAGTGCTGGAGTTTGTAATGCCGATAAAGAGCAAAAGGTGGTTGCTAAAGAAAGCAACAATCCTCATAGGGTCTTCTCCTCCTAAAGTTATAGAAAGGAGATGCTACCACCATTCATTGTGCTTTTTGCAGATTCCTCTTAAAACACAGTGTTTTACTAAATGGCCATTTTACTGTTCTGACTTGCTACCTGTGGAGTGTATTTTACAATGCAGAATGTAAAAGTGTGTTAGCTTTTCTGTGGAGGTGAGTGTATACACGAGCAACCAGTTTCTTCCAGGTTAAAATGAATCTGAAGTCTGTGGTCCCTCAAACTTGAACCCACTTGTGGGGCAGGCTTGTTTTTCTATGCTCTTTTGCACATGCCCATAAATCAGACGGCCGCGTGCCTGGCTGAAGGTCACTTCAGGGAGTGAGTAGGAGAAAGGAGTAAACTCACGGTCTGGTTTCTTTCTGAAGCGAAGTGGAAAGCAGTGCACAGGATTGTGCTCAAACGCAGCATCTAGTGCTAAGAGAATGATTTTGTAAATAAAAAATTATAGTAAGTGGTCCCGCTTATAAAAGGATGAATGCACAATGTTCATTGGGGATGTTTTTAAAAAGGGACCACTTCTGAAAGAGGGTAAGAGCATTGTGGAGTTTGTGTGGACAGTTATGGGCTTGAAATGTGATCCTGTTGCCCACTAGCTGTGTGACTTTTGGAAGTTACCTAATGCTGGTGAGTGTCTGTTATTTTATCTGTACAAAATGGGGTTGGTGACAGCAGTGGCATAGTCTGTGCTATACAATTTCATCTCCTCTTCAATCATCACAACAGTGCCATACAGAGAAGGGCAGTGGAGATATTGGCAAAGAGCCATTCCACGGCCCCAGAGGAAGCGGCGGTCTTAGAATGAAACCTAGATTAGCCTGACTCTGGAGTTGGTGCTGTTCTCTGTGACCCAATATCTACCTCATTGGGCTGTTTTGATGATAAAATAAGGTAATATGTGTCTCCAAATTTCTCTTGGGTGACATACAACCAGAACATTCCTAAGAAGCAAGGATGGTGAGATTTCATATCAAGTGCTTTGGGCTTGTAAGAGGAGGGACTCGACCCAGGTAAAAGGCATCATGCTTGGTAACTAGAGGGTTCATGAAAAAGAGGAAGACAGGGTTGAAGTCTGGTCAACCCGGTGCACCAAGATGTGAATGCATCATGTGGCATGGAGGAGGGAGCCAGGGGAGAGGTCTGAGGGGCTGGCCCCAATCCCAACTACATGGATACCTTGGACACCTGCTCCTCCCCCCAGAAAAATTTGTTTCAGAGGAAGCACTGAAGCTGCAGCTCAGGGAGGGGGACATGTTTCATCAGAGCACACGGGAGCAAATGAAGGGGGAATAAGAGAGAGTGGAGCACATCCTGGCCCACCAAGCCTTGATGATATTTCCGCTCAGAGCACCAGTCCACAGAGAAGACCATATGGCCGTCCCCACTATGAGACAAGACAACCCTCACTGACCCATAGCCCTAGAGGGGACAACACTGGAGACACAATGTGGGAATCCCGCCTGATCTGATCCCACCACACCGAGGCAAAACACTAAGGGCGTGCAACAGAACAGCAAGGGGAACAGAGCAACAAAGTCCCCAGGGAATACCAAAAATAGACTTTGGGGCCAGGGCTTGGCACCCCATCAGACTCAACCGGAAAACACTCCTAAAGGCCA